GGAAACGCATCATCACCCAAAAAAAAATACGGTACTGGTAGATTCCTTCCGGGTAAAGGGGTTTTATGTGGTATATTCAATTCATTATCATTTAACAATCGACCTAATGCTGAATTATTAAAAACCCCACCATCTGAAATCCGACCCTGACATCCCACATTAGCGTACAAAAAGTTGTAATCAGCATCTACTAAAGCAAAGAGCACAATACTGAAATATTTTTTATAGTTTATATAATCACTTCCACTTTTTGGGGGACATTGAAGTTTTTTGAACTTGGAGGGCGCTGCGTGCGTTGTAAACACATTAGCTCCGTACTTAAACTGAATTTAAAATTTGTTATTTAAGTCAAAACAAGTTAAAATTTGTGTTATTAAGTGAATACAAAAGTGTTTAAGTTAGACAAATATTAGTGTAACATCAGTGTGAAAAGGAACACCTTTAATTTCAGACTTAAATATGTAAGCGTAAATTTTGAACTTTATAACTATAAATATGTTTTGATAGTCAAAGTGAAGTAACTCCACATTAAAATTTCGCTATAAAGAAACTTATGAAATACAAAGAAACTAAAAAATATGGTGAAAATAATCGAATAACTGTATTTTTAAAATTATAACCTATAAAATTAATCAAACGAACAATACGTTGAGTCGTTTAAAAACAGTTTATCAAGTTTGCGCCATCTATTGTTAATTAGGAGATCTTACGAGTAAAACCCACCTAGCGGAGTTTGAAGATACTAATATAAACCGAACTAAATCAAACACAATCAATTAAAAAATGTAGTAACTTGACACAAGAGGTCGCTTAATAATACCCAAAGAAATAAAATCACTTATCAATATGGAAGAAATAACAAACATGCTAAAAAAATGCAGGATGATATAACGGAACAAAGAAAAGAACTAAAAAGTTTACAAGAAGATATTTCAAAGCCTATCATTGAAAATATGAACTTAAAATTTAAGGAAATTATGTCAAAAAATGAAGAGCTCGAGAAAATTATCAATAACCAACAAAATGCACTAGAAAAGATAGAAAAACAAATGAGGATGAAAAACATAGTTTTATTTGGGCTAGAGGAAAACGAAAAATGTTATGAAGATTTAGAAAATAATATTATTAATTTTTTAAATGAACACTTGAACGCAAATTGTACCTTACAAGATATAGAATCAGTCTTAAGACTAGGTAGGAAGAGAGAAAAACCTAGACCAATTAAAATTACTTTTTGTAAATTAAGCCTTAAAATAAAAATTTTAAAAACAAAAAAGCGTTTAGACTGTACTAACTACTATATTAAAGAAGATTTTACACCACATGTACTGAAAATAAGAAAAGAGCTCCAGAAAGAAGTGGACATGGCTAGAAGTCAGGGTAAAAATGCTGTGCTAAGACGCGACAAAATAGTCTACTTAGGTACGAATAAAGACAGTGTAATATATCAAAAAAGAAAACCATCTAAATCACCTGAAGCCACCAACTCTATCGCAATACAACAAAACAGACAATCACCCTCACACGCGCATCGAACTGTTAAGAAGAGTAAAGTCGACATGAGAAAATATTTTTTATCAAAGGAAACTGAACTAGACTCTCCTCCCGCTTCTTCTACAAGTTATCAGCACGAAATTCACGGTTCTCAGTACGCAATTCAAAACAAACAATAGCAACCACCTGTCCCTCCTCCTAAATCAATAACCATTAACAAAACTTACATTTACTCTCCCAACACGGCTGGTCCCCGTGGGAGTAATAGACCAAAACCCTCCATATGTAAACATAAAGAAACTGTTATCAAAAAAGACAACTACCTATATATAGCTACGTTAAACGTGAGATCACTTATAAATGTGTCAAGATTTATCGAACTGGAACATGCTATTTCTGAAATAAATTGGCATATTATAGGACTTTCTGAAACGAAACTAGAAGGAAAAGAAATTAAAGAATACAAAGATTATATTTTTATGTATTACGGTCAAAAACAAAACAGAAATGGTGTTGGATTTCTAATTAAAAAAGAATTAAAAATGAATATTAAAGATTTTATACCAATATCAGACAGAGTTGCTAGATTAGAGCTAAATTTTGAATGCAAAACATTTAATATAATACAGGTGTATGCACCTACGGAACAATCATCATTAGAAGACCTAGATAGATTCTACAAGGATCTCCAAAAATCAATATATAACACTAATAAAGACACACTGGTTGTTGGGGACTTCAATGCACAGATCGGCATGCCGACAACTGATGACAAGTCAATTATGGGCCCATGGGGATACGGTAAAAGAAGTCCAAGAGGCAACACACTAATTAATTTTTGTTTCGAGAATAAATTACATATAACAAACACATACTTTAAGAAGAAACCAAATCGTAGATGGACTTGGATACACCCAAATGGAGTATCACGAAACGAAATTGATTACATCCTAGCACGAAATAAAACAAGCATCCACAACATTGAAATGATATCAACAACCCACCCTACCGATCACAGATTAGTTAGAGCATCAATACTACTTAATCATAAACGAATTTCGTCAAGAAAACACTTTGGAAAGAGATCCACTACCGGTTTAACAGCTACAGAAAAAGAATATCTAAATTTTTTATTCAGAGATAACGTTAAACAAGTACAATTTACAAACATTGAACAAACATATAACACTTTAGTAACGAAAATCAAAGACTGCAACAATAATCTTCCAAAGAGATGTAAAAATACTCTACCAATTCAGGAAAATATTGATAAACTTATAAAAGAAAGAACACTACTAAAAGAAAAGAAAAATAAAACAATCTTTGAAAAGAAACAACTTTCAGCCTTATACAAACTCATTAAAAAACACATACATAATTGTCGAAAAGAGCATCGATATAAAATCATTGAAGAAGAACTGGAAAAGAGAGCGTCAGTTAAAAGAGCATATAAAAGGTTAGACTCTAACAAAACTTGGATTGCACAATTAACAAAACATAGTTCTCAAATAACTAATAGAAACCAAATATTAGAAATAGCTACAAAATACTATACATCATTGTATGAATGCCGTATGTCTTATAAAAAAGAAACTCAAGAATTAGACCTACCAGACTGCGAAAACGTTCCGCAATTTTTAGAATGTGAAATAAGCTATGCTATACAACAATTAAAAACACTAAAAAGTCCCGGAGAAGACCGAATTACCAATGACATACTAAATGCGATCAAAGGGCCCCTTACACCTATCTTAACAATTGTGTTCAATCAAATCCTTGCAAAGGAATTGATACCCTCTGACTGGCAAACTGCTATAATTACTCTTCTCTACAAAAAAGGAGATCCATCAGATATGGGTAATTATAGGCCAATAAGCTTACTTCAGACAATATATAAATTATTTACCAGCTTGTTACTAAAAAGAATCTTAAAAACTTTAGAAGAAAGTCAGCCGAGAGAACAAGCAGGGTTTAGAGCGGGCTTTTCTACAAATGACCACATATTTACTGTCACACAAATTATTGAAAAATATAATGAATACAACAAAAAACTCTACATCGCTTTTGTAGACTATTCAAAAGCATTTGACTCTATATATCATACATACCTGTGGCTGACGCTCCAAGAACAAGGAGTACATATTAAATATATCAAAATTCTGAAGGAAATATACAAACAGAGCAAGGCTGTGGTTAAATTAGAGAAAAAAGGAACACCATTTAATATTCAGAAAGGAGTGAGACAAGGTGATCCTATCTCGCCGTATTTATTTAACGCAATTTTAGAACATGTTTTTAGACAAGTTAATTGGCATAATATTGGCATAAAAATAAATGGAGAGTATTTAAGCCACCTACGATTCGCTGACGATGTTATCCTTATCAGTGAAAGTCATGCTGAACTAGAACACATGCTGATATCTCTAGATATAGAGAGTCGAAAGTGTGGACTCCATATGAATACTGAAAAAACGAGTCTCCTAACTAACAGCGTTAGAGTGCCTATGATGGTGCAAAATACATTGATAGAGTATGTAGACAACTATGTCTATCTTGGGCAGAACATTTGTTTTTCAAACCAAACTGAAAATGAAGTCGATCGCAGAATAAAAAGTGCTTGGAGAAAATACTGGTCACTAAAAGAAATATTTAAGTCTCCTATACCGACGCGACTAAAAAAGAAAGCAATGGATACTATTATTCTTCCAACACTACTCTATGGCTGTCAAAGCTGGGCACTAACAAAAACAATAATAAACAAACTTCAGGTCTTTCAGCGTGCAATAGAGAGGAACATGTTAGGCCTTAAGCTACGAGATAGACAAAAAAATAAAGAAATAAGAAAAACAACAAAAGTAATAGATGCTGCAGAACTAGCATGTAAATTAAAATGGAGATGGGCAGGCCACGTTGCAAGAGCTACAGAAGAACGTTGGAGTGAGAGAGTCCTCCAATGGTACCCTCGCGAAGTACCACGGCCACGCGGTAGGCCCAGGCGCAGGTGGTGTGATGACATTGTGACCACAGCTGGCCACACCTGGATGAGACTCGCACAAGATAAACAAAAATGGCAAAAGATGGAGGAGGCCTTCACCCGCAAATGGGTACCCAAATAAATAAGAAAAAAAATATATCAATGATAAGTAAAAAAAAAAAAAAGTAATAATTTAAATATTATGTAATCATAACTAATCTGCTGTAAATTGATTTTCATAACATGTTATAATTAACCATTACATATTTTATTATTGTTATTATTACATATTTAATTAATGTTACTATTATTAATGGATTTAAATTGTTTAATAATGTAATCGCATTTCATTATTTTATATTTGATAATTATAAACTGTAGTTAATTGATATTTATTTTAAGGATATTATATAACGATTTATTGAGCATAATTTATAAAATTTATTCTAAATTCTGGCAAATTTTATATCTAAATGTTTGTTGAAGTTTTCTTTGAAGCATGATTGGTTTTGTAAATGTAAATGAAATTTTGTTAAATATTTAATTTTATGTATTTCTTTTTTGGGAAATAAAGGCTTAAATAAATAAATAAAATATAATCACTTCCACTTTTTGGGGGACATTGAAGTTTTATGTGTTTCCCATCCATAGACCCAAGACAATTGGGTATTTGCCATCTTTTTAAATATTCATCTGCAATTTCTCTCCATCCTTCCTGACTCCTTGGAATTTTCACATAATCTGAAAGTCCTTCAACTAAAGCATCACATACTTCAGGAATAATGCTTGAAATTAGTTGAGGAGATACTTTAAAGACGTCGCACAGGCTACTAAAAGAATTTCCTGAGCTTAGGTATTTTAACGTTATTGACAATCTTTCCACTGGTGAAACTGCTTTTCTGTAATTTGTGTCTTGTTTAGCTATTTTGTGTCCAACAATATTCAGTAAATATTCAAAGTCGGTACTGGTTAATGACAGGAAAGTCTTAAAAGAATTGGGTTTGTATAGAACCACGTCGTCTTCCTTTAAATCACTTAATCTTTGACAAGTACTGTATTTATTGCGACTCATTAAACTTGGCCTAACCCAACACTTTCGTATGTTGAGGGATCCACCGATAATAACTCCACAAACTGGTATTATTAAATCACTGTTATCATCCTCCTCCATGTCAATCTGAAAATACTACTTCTGAATTATTCGAAACACACACGTCCAATCTCTACGACTATTTGGCAATTACTAGAACACCACATGCCGCGGCTGTCGTGCCGCCGGCATTGCCGCCGGCAAAGTCGTTCGGCTTGGACATTCTGAAGCCGCCGGGTTAACCCGCCGGCAATAAGCCGCCGGGCTGTGCCGCCGGGTCAGCGGCTTTGGTGTGTAGACCGCTTTATATTAGCCGAGTTGTTTCTTCGATGACGATACATTTCTCTCATCCACCACCTTGGTGGTTTTCTCTTCTTCTTTATGGCACAGTGAATGATTATAAAGGCAGCAGCAGCTACACGGACACATGAAGACATGACGGAGCCGAGCATATACTGAGCAGCCTGAGCACTTTTTCAATGTTGAGGCTCGTTCGACCAAATCATTCATTTTGTTCCTCTGAGCATGCTCTGGCGAATGAGCGGCTCATTCGCCCGAGCATGCTCAACTGGATACAAGGCTTAATACAAACGTGAACTACTTGTAATAAGATTTCATTTATCTATGTCTTGAGATGTGATAACGAAATATAAGTTGGTTTTCTTTTACTTTCTACTGATTTTTTTAGTGCATTTTGCATAGTGTTATTAGTAATAACCGCGCACGTAATTAAAAATTGTAAAAATACTTACCTACTTTTACTGCAATTTATAAGCCTGGGCTTAAGTAGGAAAGCTGTTTCCCTGGAAGTATATTACATTTTGAGAAGTTTTGATTGAATACCTAGGTGTACGTGTAGTATAAAAAACAATTTTATTTCAGAGACAAGAGAAATGCTGCTCTAGATAAACTAATTGCGAAGTACAGAGAAGTAGAAGGAAACGCAGACCGTGAAACTGTTTGAAAAAAAATTAATTCGTTGTGGACGAATTACAAAATGGAAAAAAAGAAAGTAGAAAATTCAACACGGTCTGGCGCCGGAGCCGACGTTGTATTTAAATCTAAACTTTGGTACTTCAAGGAATTAATGTTTGATGATTTGAGATGACAAAATTGAACCAAGAGCCAGAACCACTATGGGGCGGTGCTATGATTTGAATATGCTTGCCATCCATTGCTCCAACACAATGAGGGTAGTTCCACTTTTTTTCGAAGTTTCGTGAGCCATTCACTTTCTGTTCGAGGAACCTGAAGCAGAATAACAAACCATTAACAAATTACAATGCATCAATTTCTTATTAAATTTTTTTTTACAGTAAAACCGAACCCAAGATGTTTTGGATGTTGAAAATGCTGATAGTCAAGGCATTAATGACAATGAAGAAAGCAGTGAAATGCGCCCTCCAAAACAAAAAAAGTGCTAAGAAAAAGATAATAGAATATGACAATCCAATGGTAAAGAGTGCATATGAACTTTTGAAGAAAACAGCGGACAATGATGACCCGTACACAAGTTATGGATTGCATATTGCCAACGAACTAAAAAAACACGATAAAGGTACCTTGGCCTGTGACAAACATACCATTAATAATATAATATTCCAGGCAGGGCGTCAAGTTCGCACAGATTTTAGGGGCTGCAGAGGCCGTGGCGGTCGCACAACCCGTGGAGGTCGCACAAATCATGGAGGTCCCACAAACCGTGGAGGTTGCACAAACCGTAGAGGTTGCACAAACCGTGGAGGCCGAATTAGTCGACGAGCTCGTAGAAGTCGCATAGTGGTTTTAGGTAATAAGTGTTTTTGTTATGGAATGATAAAAATGTTTATTTTTCGTATAACAGGATAACTATTTAGTAAAAGTTTAAACATGAAAAAAATCACTTGTTTCAGAGGATATTCAATTGGTGCCACCACACGGAGATCTAAGAGACGAGAGGGAAGTTGGTAAGTATTTTTAAATACACTCTCAAACAAATAAACAGAATCTATGTTAATACAATATTTGGTACCTATATTATTATTTTTGTTATAGCTGTTATACAATTGGCACCAGCTGCTGATATCGAAGTTGGTAAGTGTACAATTTCCTATAATCACTAATTTTGTGAAGAATGGGTATGAATACACTTATTTTCTTATAGAGCATGTTCAGATACCATCATACGAAGATGAAGACATTTTTAACACAGGTACACCAGATACTGCCAATGCTAACACAGTACCTAATTCGCCTTCTTCGTTAGACAGCAGCCCAAGCCGTTTGTCAACAGTCTTAAATTTAGAATTAATGTCGCAGACTCCAAAAAAGATAGGAAATTTGTTACTTGAACACAAAAACATTAGCTCAGATGACTGTCTGAGTTGATTTAATTTCGTTTCGATTGTTAACCTTTTTTTTTCCTCAATTATAATAAAAATGCAGTGCTGCTAAGCATGTAAATATTGTTTTATTTTTATCATAGTGCCATTGATCACGAGAGGCGGGCAACGTACCGGCCGTGTACGTACGAGGGGTGGGCAAAGTACTCGGCGCGTACGTACGAGGGGTGGGCAAGTACGCAGCGATGGAGATGGACACTTCGCATGTGTAATTTTTATTTTTGTGTTTTGTTTCTGTGACATATTTGCTTGTACAAACACTGACGTTTATATATATATATATATATATATATATATATATATACAATTCATTGTTTTGTTTTATTGCTAAAAATATGGTTAAGTATTCCACATTTTAAGATCAGGTTATTTTAGGTTTTATAAAAGCATGATTCCATCTAATAAGAGACGACCTACAGAAGAGATGGACCCTCTTAAATTCGGAGAGAGACTAGAAGTACCCATGCACATTAAAAAACCACGTCTCTGGCCAACGCCACATATTTCTGTGTAAGTATTTATTTTTTCGTTACTCCTCGTAACCTAAAACAGTTAAAGCAAATGTCGATTGATTGGTTATAGGTCACCAAGTACAAGATCCAATTTTGAGATGGAGGTACCTTCACCTGCGCAGTAAGTATCTCTACTGTAGTATGTGATCGTGAACACATATTCCCGTTCTACCATTTAACTTACTTACATGTATTTTCTTTTTAGATTCATTGAGTGTGATGAAAGCAGATCCAGCACGCCCTGCACAAGATCAAATTTTGAAATGGCGGGGTGCCTTCATCTGCGCAGTAAGAATCTCTACTGTAGCATATGATCATGAACATATATTTCCGTTCTACCATTTAACATACTTACATGTATTTTCTTTTAGATTCATAGAATGAGGTGGAAGCAGATCCAGCACGCCTTGCACTACTCAATTAGAGACCATTCTACCAAAAACACGTCGTATTTTAACAGATATTGAAATTGACGATATTCTGAATTTTGGTATTTTTTTTTTAAATATTGACGATACCACTCATTTTTACTTATTACGATGTTGTAATAAACTGATTTATCTTTACAGGTAGCGAAGAAGAAAACGAGTCTGAAGACGAAGCATTCCCCGTTTTTGTGCCAAGGACCGAGCGTATGTTTTAATGAATGACGACCCTGAGGACGAGGCAGTGATATCTTCTGATACTGCTCCGTCTGCACCCTCTATCAATTTACCAGAAATTTTTGGATATACTATACAGCACGTCGGCTGGGCCCGAGCGATTCCTCTTTGACTGGAAAGTTTTTCCAGACACACCGATCCCTCTACGGGACAGGCGTGAAATTTTTAGGGAAGCAGAGGGTCCTGTTCTGAACTTGCCAGGACAATCCGTACCGAGTCCAGAAGCCATATTTTTGTCCATATGGGACAGCGTAATCATGGATCATATTGTTATAGAAACAAATAGGTATGCCGAAGAAGAGATTTATAAAAGAAAAGGTATTCTTGGACCACAATCGCGACTGCACCGCTGGACTCCTACAGACGTTGATGAACTATATGTTTATTTTGGGATAGTTTTGGCAATGGTACTCTGTTTAAAGTCCAATATTAAGGAGTACTGGCATTGCGACGGGTCCATCTGTGACACGCCGAATTTTGCAAAATATATATCTTGCAACAGATTTATTCTATTGAATAAATTTATACATTTTGCAAAAAATGATGATAATATCTTGGCTTTGAGTCCTTCGGAGGCTAAAATTTATAAAATAAAACCTATAGCTGACCACCTCAACCAGAAGTTTCAGTTATTATACAAATTGAAACAAAATATTTGTATAGATGAATCGCTGACGCAATTGAAGGGGTGGTTAGCAATTAATCAATTTATAAAAAACAAGGCTGCGTCAATTGGTGTCAAAACCTATGAGGTTTGCGACGCGAAGTCTGGATATCTTTGACGTTTTAAAATCCACTCAGGCAACAAAGAGAGTACCACCGAGTCGCCTACTCCCATATCTGGGATCATTTCTAGTTTGGTCCTCCATCTGTTGCAAGGTCTCGTGAATAGAGGCCACTGTGTGTGGATGGATAATTATTATAAAAGCCCCGCCCTCGCACGTACGTTAAAAACGATGGGTTTTGATTGTGTCGGTACATTATGTACAAATCGACAGTTCGTACCCTGGCATCTTTAAAAAAAGGCAACATGGCTATTGGAGAAATACAGGGATGTACCAGTGGAGACGTGGATATTTTGGTCTGGCGAGATCAAAATAGGGTGGCAACTGTATCCACGTATAACGGCAACGCAGTACAACATATAAATGACAAAATCAAACCGATAGTCGTTTTGGACTATAATTTATGTACGGGAGGGGTTGATCGTAAGGATCAAAAACTGGCGATGTTCCCTATGGAACGAAAGAGGACTCGTGAATGGTACAAGAAACTGTTCAAGCGCCTACTTAACGTTAGTGTCTTGAACAGTTTCATCTTGCACTCTGAGTCCCCAGTGCCAGAACACCCAGTTCCAAGATTCACCACACACAGAGGTTTTAGATTGGAACTCATTAAGAGTTTGTTAAAAAAGAAAGTGCAACCGCCAAGTGACGCCATTACCTTACACGGTAGCGCCACTTCTTTCTCAGAAATTTATTTTTTACGCTTACCCAAAGAATACCAGACTCTTCCAGGCCGAGGCG